TTCGAACCCTGGGAGATTTTCCACCCCAAATGAATGAGCAAATAACCTTATCTAATAAGCTAAAAAAAATTTAGGTAAAAAGAAATAGGAATTTTGGCAGAATATTGATCTTGACAACATTAATCTTGCCAAGTAATGAAAGGGGGACGTTACCCCATCTTTTAATATCAGAAGTAATCTCTGAAATGAGGGGAGTTAAATTGGCAGAAGCCAGGCCGGACAAAGAACGAGTCACATTAATACCTAAATATCTAAACCCTGATGGACTAAAATAAAATGGTAAATCTGATTGTTGAAGATGACATGCAGCAACATTAAAGGGAAACCACTCACTCTTCCCCAAATTTAATTTATAACCCAAAAAGATGCCAAAGTTCTCCAGAATACTCAAAACAGCAGGGATAGAAAGTGCAGGGTCAGAAATATACAATAATAAATCATCTGCATACAATGATAATTTGTGTACAATCCCATTACGGATGATGCCTTTGAATAAGGGCAAGGATCTTAACATAATAGAGAGAGGCTCGATAGCGATGGCAAAAAGCAGAGGCGACATAGGACAACTCTGACGAGTACCACGTCCAAGGGCAAAATAATCTGAGTAAACATCATTAGAATGGACACTAGCCATAGGGGATGAATAAAAGAGGCGATTCCAAAAAAAAAAATTACCACCGAAACCGAATCTTTTCAAATAAATAAATTATATTGAAAAGTGTACGGGTATTAAAGAACAATTGACGACCCTTAATAATATGAGGAAGCACATTCTCCAAACAGGATGCAGTTACTTTAGCCAGCATCTTTACATCAGCATTAAGCAGGGACAACGGCGTATAGGAACCACAGCTGGTCGCATCCTTGTCTTTCTTGAGAAGGAGAGTAATAGTGGCTCGTGTCAAGGTTGGTAGTACAGAACCACTGTCTAGGGATTCATTGAATACAGATAACAGTAGAGGTGCTAATTTATCAATAAATGTTTTGAAAAATTCAATCAGAAACCTGTCAGGGCCTGGGGCTTTATTAGACTGCAATGCCCTGATTGCGTTTGATACTTCTCGAAGGGAGAGCGGGGAATCCAGACGTACGGCAGTATCAGCCTCAATAACCGGATTCAATAGGTTCTGAAGGAAATCATACATTTTAGCGACGTCCATGGGAAATTCTGATTAATACAATGAAGAGTAAAAAGATTTAAAAACAGCATTAATCTCCAAAGGATCTGTTGTAATAGAATCACAAGTATCCTTAATAGCAGGTATCAAACAGGAAGTTGCCTGTCGACGCAACTGATGTGCCAATAAACGACTAGCCTTGTCACCATGCTCATAATATGAACCACGACTACATAATATCAAGCGCTCTGCCTCTTTAGCGGAAATAAGATCAAATTCTGCTTGCAAATCTAAACGTTGCTTGAGTAGCTAAGGAGTCAGGGCATATCTTTGATCAAGATTACTGATTGCAAATGATAGTTTAGTGACTCTAGTCTTCGTTTTATTGGAAAGTGCTGAGTAAGAAATCATTTGACCTCTCAAGTAGCATTTGAGCGTCTCTCACAACAATGAATATGAAGAGGAGTTGTTCCGATTGATAGACAGAAACTCATCAATAGAAGTCGAGATGAAGTCGCAAAAATATCTGTCTGCCAAAAGAAGAGAATTAAATGTCCAATGTGGAGGGCTACGCTTTTAGGTAGAAAGGTGAATATCCAATAATAAAGGTGAGTGGTCAGAAATTACAATACCCAAATAATCAGAGGAATTAACACGAGTTAAGCACACTATCAATGAAAAAGTAATCAATCCTCGAATAGGAATGATGTACCTGGGAGAATTTTTTTTTTTTTTTTCGTCGAGGGATGACGAGATTTCCATGAATCGAGAAGACCATTTAGCTCCATAAAACCTGAGAATGCCTTGGACATAGCAGATTGAGTCAGATTACGAGGATTAGACCGATCTAGAATTGGGTTGAGAACACAATTTAAATCCCCACCGAGGATCAGCAAATGAGTATTTAGGTAGGGGATGCTGCCCAGAAATCTGTTGAAATCAACATTGTTGAAATACGGGGCACATACATTCACCAACAAAACCTACTATGCATTAGGGTACCAGCAACTATGAGATACCTCCCATCCCTATCAGCGATAACATCAGTGGATGTGAAGTCAACTTTTTTGTTAGTTAAAATAGCAACTCCTCTAGATTTCAAATTGAAGTGTGAGTGGAAGAGTTGACTTACCCAGGGACAACAAAACCTGTGATGATCTCTAATATGAAGATGAGTCTCCTGTAAAAACACTGTATCAGAATTCAAATGTTTCAGGTGTGTAAATACCCTCAATCTCTTAACAGGATTACCCATACCTCTAATATTCCTATGTTGCCATTAACCATTCAAATGAAGAAAAGCGAAGATGCAAATGGACGTGAAGAGCTGACGCGGGACACCCTCCCCCCCAACATATCCCTGAACACAAATACACCCAGTCTCCATAAAAACCACAGAACAAAGGAGACAGCAGTGTTTCCCACAACAACCAAAAGTTGCCCACCACAGGATGAACAACTCGGAGATTAAGCGGAGCAAACGAAGAAGAGCAAGAGAAAAAAGAGAGTGAATAAAAAAGAAGAAAAAAAAAATTTGACATTGGTCAACAATATGCGCACTGATAAGCACGTCATATAAAAAAAAACTGCATGTTTCATCCGAGGATGAACATTCCAGCAAAACACTCCAACAAAATGAAAAAGATGAACGCCACAGTTAGACACCTCAAGTTCCCATATAGACCAGATAGATAAAGTAAAGCCCGACAAAACAAATTAATAAAAAACAAAACAAAACAGTCGGCCCTGAGCGCAGAGAGCATCAAATGAGATGAGAGATAAAATGTAAAATAGTGCAATAAGTGCAAAAATATAATATATGGTTTAGACCTTTTGTATAACAGTATCCAGAAGGACTGAAGAAAAAAAACACAAGCTACCTTGGCAGTGAAGTCAGGGAAGACTGAGATGGACAAATCTCTCACTTTGGTCTGTCGGAGCTCTCTGGCGCGGCGCAGTACATCAATACAGTCACTGTGATAATGAAACCTGCACACGTGGACGATCACCGGGTTTGGGTTTGGGCTGCTGGGTCCGATGGGACCGGTCCAACAGTGGCTCCTTTTCCAGACCAAACGCCTCCTTCAGCAAGGCAGCCACAGCCGCAGTGGAGCAGGAATCGGGACCCTTTGGTACTCCCACGGTCCTAATGTTGTTGCGCTGTGATCGGGACTCCAGGGGCCTTATGTATCAATACTTGCGTGGAACTCATACCAGAAACGAGCGCACGCAAGGTCCGTCACGCTGAAAAAAATCCGTATGTATCAATGTGTGCGGGCGCCGAAATCCACGTGTGTTTCCTTGATAAATCCCAATCAGCGTGGAATTGAGCGCAGATGTCTGAGTGACTGGGCCAGCCCCCGTTACGCCCTCCTATAAATATGCAGATTTATTTAAATAGGGTCTCCCTGTCCTCGAACGCAGACAAAATGACAAGAAAAACTAAATTTACGGCGTGCGAGGTGGAGGTGCTGGTGGCGGAGGTGGAGGAGCGACAGCGTGTTTTGTTTGGCAGCCTGTCCAGTGGCGTCAGTGCAAAACAAAAACGCTTGGAGTGGGAGAAAGTTTGCGAGAGGGTGAGTGCGGTGGGTTCCGAGACACGCACCCCCGCGAAGATTTTAAAAAAGTGGTCGGACCTCAAGGTGGAGGTCAAGCGGCGTACAGCTGCCCTCTGGAGGAGTACTGGCCAGACAGGTGGGGGTCCGGGGGAGGAGACCCTCATGCCGTTTGAGCAGCGGGTGGTGGCGATTATTATTATAGGGTAAGTGGCGTGTCACACAAATGTCCACATGCTTTGCCATCCCCCTGAGCAAAAGACGTATATTAGACGTCTAGTCTAAGTTTATACATCATTTCAACGTCGGGATTCAGTCTTTTTTTAGACGTGATTTATACTTCGCCCTTAACTTCATTTTTCGATAACTTTTTATGCAATAAACAACTGTAATGTGCATAACTGACCTCGAAATACTGGATTACATTACCTATGATACCGTGGAGAGAGATGTAAACGCAACAGATACACAGAAGCAGGAATTGAAATGAACCAATATTTTTATTGTGTCACAGAAATCAACGTGTCGGCCGTGTCGCCGGCTTGCGGAACCCCGGCCCGCGGCAGCCCGTCCGCCGGCTCGGAGTCGTCGGCCAGGACCAGCGGCATTCGGGCCACCCCGGCCCCCGGCCCCAGCACCAGCACCAGCATCATCACCAGCGCGCCGACAAGCAGTGGAGCGTCCACCAGCCGCGGCGCTTCCGCCGGACCACCCGGACGCAGTGGAAGGGTCCTCGCGGAGGGGGTCCTGCAATCGCAGGAAGAAATCATCAGGGGGATCGCGGGGATCAACGAGTGGCTGGACCGGCTCGTAAATGTCCTCGAGCGTCTGGTGGAGAAAATAAATTCATTTGGCTCATTGAACTGTGTATTCACTTCTTACCCATTCACACTATGGCGATGAGATTCTCCCGCGCGAGGACGGCGGCCCCGCAGGGATCAGCTCGCATCCCTCCGTCTGCTGCTGGTTCGTCATGTGGGGCGACGTGCTGCTCGGCCACGGGGATGTAGTGCACGCTTGTCACATAGTGAGTCACCAAACACCGCCACACAGTGTCGCCAAAGTGCGAATCACAGTCAACGCAAGTATCGGCTCAACGCCAATTTCTACACCACCTCCTGACTTTGCGTTGAATAGCGCTGGAACCGACGCTCGTTTCGCGATGATAAATCGGGACGTGTGCGCCGATTTTGGCGTACGCAAGGTTTTCTTGCACCGCAAGCGTTGATACATAAGGCCCCAGATCTTCACATTTATTTTCCAGCCTGGGCACGGTAGCGGTGAGGGACTTGATTGTGGTTTTCATCTCGGTGATATCATCGAAGCACTAGGTGAGCGCATGCTCCATCTCTCCCACTATGCCCTTTAGTCCGGACACGGTAGCATCGGACGCAGCTTTATCATTCACAAACTGTGTCCTCACCGCTTGCAAATCCTGCTTGAGAGCAAACAGTGTATCACCAAGAGTTTCCTGAAGTTCCCTCTTAAAGATGTCGGCGATGTTTTTTCTCAGCGAAGCCAGCAACTCAAGTTTAAGAGCAGTGATATCAGGGTTAGCTTGCTCCGAAGCGACATCCTCTGGAGTCGCCGGCTCACTTGAGGCCGTGGGCAGGCTGGGCCGCAGCTGAGTCTGAATCGTGTGTCGGGTTTTAGAGTTCTTTCCAGCCATTTTACACAGATGAGTATTCACCTCTTCAACAAAAATACTTAAGGTAAAAAATAAGGCCGAATATATGCCAAAAAGCGTGGATAAATAACAATTTTTTATCAAAAATCGGCAGGAGCTTCCAGAATCACGTCCTACTCCATTGAAGCCACGCCTCCTCCCCCAGAACTTTGAAGTCTTTTTAACTAATTTATGTTTGAATTATTTCTCCATAACAGATCACATCTATGGCAGTCCGCAGACACACAACATGAAAAGAAAGAAAGGCAAAGAAAGGGGGGGGGGGGGGGGTGACAGAGCTCAAACTAAGGCAAAAATCAGTGAAGTGTGAAAGCATATTCAACAATCAGGGCTGCTCTTTGTGATTCAGAGGGTGAGGAGGCAGCAGCAGGGAGAAGAAAAGAGTGTGAGTGATTTTCTAAAGCAAAGAAAAGCATCTGAGAGTTACTCCAAGGTCAGAAATGTAACCTCAGAGTGAGTGTGGAAGGCACCGCTTTTTTTCACGGCACTCTTTAAACACTCTTTTAGTTACTGCTGCTCGTCTTCTGACAGGCAAGGGCATGCTTTTTTGTGTGTGTGTGTGTGTGTGTGTGTGTGTGTGTGTGTGTGTGTGTGTGTGTGTTTGTGTGTTAATACATTATATGCACATTTTAACAAGCCTTAGTACAGTCACTGTTTGCTCCAGGCTCCTAAGACACTAACCCTGAAGACCAAATTTAAATACAGTGAAAAGCATGCAGCCATTATGGGTGTAAATCACTGCTTAAAGAGATAGTCTGATCTGACTCCAACCTTCATGGCTCAGATGACATCCAAGGATAATTCTTAGAGTAGAGATTATAAGTTTGATTTGATTTAACATCATTCACTTCTCATCATTCCTATCAATTAATTTAACGATTATTTTTTCGATTAGTCGACTATCTATCGACTAGTTTATCAAATATTCCAACGATTATTTTTAATTAACTGATTAATATAACAATGAATTTACCCAAAGTAGCAAGTAAAAACTTGTTCTATTAGTATTTATTTTAATGATTTAGTCAAGAATCTCTTGAAATCAAACAAAACTAAACATTTAGGTTATAAAATCAGAGTAATTTTTGCAGTGCACGCTGGGCCGTTTTGGGGTTACCTTGTATGGTGGATATGAGCTAATTAAGAGTATTTGTAATTAAATTGCTCATGCAAATAAGTATAAGTGTAGCTGCACACTTTTGTTTTGTTTTAACAATAACAAATGGTAATAAAAACATAATAGCTACGATATGCCCTTAACTTATTTAGTCCACTAATATTAGTGTTAAAGTCCATATATTTTACATGCTCTCCCGTATGAGGTTCTCTAAACATCTGTGCGTGCAATACAGCACTCTTGAGTCTGAGGCTGCCCTGAACGCATCACTCAGAGACGGTGAAAGACTATCAATGGAAATATTATATCTCACATTTGTTTCCCTTTCATTGAAGTGTTCATTTTACAACAAACACAAATATAGTTTACGGTTTAAATTGACCTGAATCATCCCAAATTGTAAAGTAAAAATATCAATCCACTGTCTGTGAGGCTCAGCAGAAACACAGGACAATTTTCGGTTGTCTGGAAACTTTGGACAAATACAGTGATCTGATTCATGAATGAATGTGGACTATGTAAACTACAGGAGAAATGAAAATACGGGAGGTGGGTGGGAGATAGGTCTGAAATACGGGAGAGTCCCGGGAAAAACGGGAGTGTTGGCAGGTATGATATCAGTATACATATGTGCAGCGAAGCTCACGATTGCAGAGTATTAGCATTAGCAAACTATCGTCGGTGATCACACAGCTGATTAATTTGCGAGTTATAGGACACATAAAAGCACAAAACTGATGCTTCAAATCCGAGCTACCAGCTTAAAGTGAATGAATTAGATATGGGATGCAGGGCGTATGATGCAGCGTCCTCTGTGGCGTTTGCTGCACCAGCGGTGGGTTATTTGATTGACAGGTCACTGCATGTCTCCTCGAATGAGAGCAGCACAATGTTGGAAATGTGAACGAGGAAGCCAGGAAGAACACTTAATTGATTAAGAAGAGCTGCTCAAAGATCATGTTAAAGTAGATTTGTAATCGACCCCATTAGGTGTAGCTTATTTGCCGTCCATGCCTCCACCGTTACCTGAAGTAGCCATTGTTTACGTCATCATGCAACGCGTCGATGCTTGTTTTTTGCGTTGATGAATTTTTGTAGTCAATTACGTCGACGTATCGGCTGAGCCCTAATTCACTCCTTGTTTATGTACATGAAACCAAGGCAATTTAATTTGAGTGTAATATGTTTAAACTGGTATATGCTGCATACAGCATGTACAGCAGTTTATCCTGTTGCAAACAATGTACAGAGGAGTAGAGAAGATGTTTTTCTTGTTGTCTACATGTTCATATGGCATTTTTCTGCTGCTAGAGGTCATATCATGAGAAAACTAAGGGCAAAATTGCATTTATGAGTATTTCTGCATTCAGATCACTGTGAATCTCTGACAGACCCAAACGGCAGGTTTAGACACAGTGGGATTTTCTACATCACAGATCCATGCCTGGCCCCCAGTGCCCCGCTCTGCAGGCCAAACCCTGAGAAATAGAGAGGACAATGGCAGTAGTGTGCAGTAGCAGAATGCAATGCTCGTAAGAAAGCAAATTATGATATTAACTTTCATCACCGCAGCTGCAACGGCAATATTACAAGCTAGCATGAAGAGGAGTGTGCAGAGCAGCACTGTCTCTGCCCACGACTTAGGGGCAAATTGCTAAAGAGCTACTGGAGCTCTGCAGAAGAAAAGCCGTTCAAATAGCACAGGTAACATGATTTTGGCTAAAAACTACATAATCACAACTTAAAAATCACTGATAAGTAAGTAGTAAAAACAAAAAATAAAACAAACAAACAAACAAAAAAAAAAACATTGGAGAGGGACTTTAAAGGAGACGGATATCTTTGAAGAGGCCAGGGACCACAGTGTTACCTTAAAATGTCTATCACGAAGCAGAACAGTCACAAGGAGAGGTTTGAAATTTAAAAGACAGTAAACAGCCACAATCAGTAATGCCACAGTACACTTGGGTTCAAGATGTAAGAGCCAGGTAAAGCTCAAGCAAACCAAAGTAGGTTAAAATCCTCCATGTTACCATCAGTCTGGTTTGTTTTCCCTCATTAAGCCAAACGCTGAGATCTTAAATCCAAATTTCTCTCCATGTTAGAGTAACTGTTTCTCTATTTCAGATGATCCCCCCTTGATGTCAAAGTTTGGGTCAGACAGTAAAAAGTTCTGAGGAAAAAGAAAAAAAAAGGCAGCAAGAGAAATATGGAGTCAACGTTTTTCATGAGCTGACACCTCAGAGATCTGAGGAAGGAAAAATGATCCCTGGCACAACCTTTTTTGTGTCTCTTTCACCCTGTGACCTCCCTCAGTGTGTCTGAAATGGTTCACTGCTTTTTTACAGACTTCAAGGTCTTCTTTCACAACACTGCCTGTCACACTGCAGCATGTGAAACTCTTCAAGATGACAGCAGCTCATCGCACTGGTACATATCTGGTTAATTTTCTTTCTCTCTTATCAGATCGTCCTTCTTGTAACCATACTGCCCTTTCAAACAAATGAATTCCTACACAGTTCTTTAGTTTATGAAGTGTTGTTACCCTCTTTTTAAATTGATGGACAAAGCCTGTTGAATTTAACTCAAAACAAGACCTTTCATAGACTTTATTGCAGAGTGTCTCGTTGTAACAGCATCAGTGTGATTGTTATTTTCTACCTGACACACTTCATTGTCATTTTAATGCCCAGCATCCAGGCTCTGTAAATAGCAAGTGAATTTGTGCCCACATTAGTGCCTGTGGGTTTGTTGGTTTTGTCAAAATGAGGTATGGCTAGTTGTAAAGGTGGGGCATTTCTATCTTGAGGAAGCTGAAAGCATTTTCCATCTTAAACTTAGTCTAAGCTCTGAAATCAATCTGGAGTTTCTTGTTTTTAATAACCAAGAAATCTGAGACTTTTCACTGCTTACAGTTTATCATGGGCTGCAGATCTAACAAATTATTCAGTCTTTAAACCTTCATACAACATCATTTATATGTCAAGTCTGGTGTTTTATCATGATCTATTGAAACATCATTGACAGTTTAGACTGTTAGCTCATTAGCCAACTGCACAGCTTCTTTTGTCTTACTCATTTGGTCTCTTTGCTGTCTCTATGGTAACGCTGCTCTGCTGCTAAACCGGTCAACCACATAAAACTATGAAAAGGGGAATCAGAGAAGAAATATAGAGTCTAAAAAAATGCATGATTACCCCCCTTTTACAGACAAAGTGTGGTTGGACACTCCACAGTTTAATTAATGCAACTCCCTTGATACTGCAAGCAAATGCTCATTGGATGGTCCCATTTTATGAGTTGGGAAGTCATTCTTTCATGTTTGGTCTTTTTGTGCTTAAATTTCCGACCATTTTTTGGTAGTATTAATATTAAAGATTGACAACCAAACTCTTCAAGCAAGGCTGCATGCCAATAAATACCAAGATTTTGCTTAAGCTAATGTACCACACTAATGTACCCTCATTTTTTATTCACATGTAGGAGGAGGGCACAAATTTAAACAGCATTTCATGCAGCCCAAGTCTAGAGGGTGAATATTTCTTGGTAAAAAATACCCATATTCATAGTAACAGTGCCTTATTTCCTTTTAAACAAGATACAACTGTCAAAAACAACTTCTCAAAGTGCCATTAAATAAGTCATTCCTTTTCCTAGTAAAATGGCTGAAAGCTTTCATGTGTTTCTGAAAGGCTTTCTCTGGTTGCATGTAAATTTACACTGGCACTGAAAACAACTGCTGGCAGAGACTGCTGTCAATATTCTGTAGAACTAAAATACTAAAAAAAATCTTTGGACGTCCCCAAAAAAGTCTTTGTCAAACACTGACAGCTGTCTTATAAAAGAAATCCAGAACTTTATTCTTTGAAGCCTCCTTCTAAATTCATTGCCTCTGCAAAGCAGCTCAAAGCTTGTTTACCCAGATACCTACAGCATCTTTCCCTACAGCAGCCTTTTCCAAATATAATAGTGACAGGCAGAGGATAACACTTCTGAAAGGATAGAAGAAGGTCACATGCAGAGGAAACCGTGAGATAGAGATTTGAAACCACACAGTACAGTAGCTCTGTGTTTTCTGCAGCAGGGGATTTTCTTTTGGCTCACAAATCAACTCCTGAGATCAATGTTCCAACCAGAAGCTAAAAAAGAAGCAGAAAGATATCTATATCCAGAGCTATTTCTGGTGACCGCAAATGTGTGTATAAAGTCATTCTCATACTCAGGCAGACCTCTCATCCAACTAAAAGAAACCCCTCTTCTTTTCTTATTTAGCCCTTAGCTACAGGACTTACTGAACCTGACACTTTTACACAACTGGGTCAAAAATAAGCAGCATTAGATTTAGTGTCTACCATGCCATTTTGGTTAAGAATGATCATTTTATTTTTGTCCACCAAGAATAAGTCTATGTAAGAACTGTATGTATAACATTTTGAAAACATTTGTAAAACATTTTGATAATTTTAAACAAACAGGAACATAACATAAAACAATGACCCTAGATGTTAAGTTAAGACAGGGTCATTAAAAAATGTCAATGTGTTAGTGAACCATGTTTTCGTTTCGTTTTCTTCTGCTTCATAAATTGTTTGTTCAAAAGATAACGTAAAAACTAGAGTTCTTTTGTTAAACGCTTTTTCTAGATAAATTGACCAGAGGTCAGGGAGACTCACTGGGTGCTGGATTTTCTAATCCTGTTGGCACTGGCTTTATGTGTCTCCACAACTCCTAGGTCACAAAGTACACACAATTGCTTTTCCTCAGAATTGCCTTTATAACTATCCAACTCAACTGCCAGGTATAAAACACCTGCTGTTGCATGGACCTCTGTTCTTTCTTTGAATTCAATTAAACATAAAGTTCAGTGGAATACTCATCTTTAATTTGAACATAATTTCTTGTTTTTGCTTTTTCCATAAATCTACTTTCCATTGTTGTTGGTGTAACAGTGATAGTTTCTGTTTAACCACTTTCAGGTTACACTGTAAATTATTCATAAAATGTACATTTGAATCTAAAAGTGAAAAAAAAATGAGGATACTTTTGTGATCCATGGATGGTTATGCAATTTGTTCCAATCGAATAAGCTTTTGGTTAACCTCTCCTCTGGTAGTTGAGTTAGTCTAATCATCTCACATCTCTGTCATGTCAAACAGCTTTCCAACCTGTATCACCCTCTGTGTCTAACTTGGTAGTATAATTATGCAGTCAAAGGGAGCATCTCAGGACTCTACTCTGAATAGTTTTGCAGTTGGTAGCCTCCTCAGAGCCCCACATTCCTGCTTCATAAAACATATTTATGCTACCATAGAGTAGGAGTCTGTTACACTCAGTATCATGACATCACAAGGTGGCCGCAAGAGTGTTTTATAATTTCTATGCTGACACCTTTTCTTAAAGGTAACTGAATGTATGACGATGAGTTTAAGTTACTTTTTGTTGTTGTTGTTGTTGTTGTTGTTGAAGTCAAACAAAGTTAACTCAGTCAGAATCAGAATCAGAAATACTTTAATAATCTCCTGGGGGAAATTGCTTTTGTTACAGTACTCCAGTGCAAATACAGTAAAAGAGGAGATAAATAATAGATAAAATAAAAGATAAAATATAATATACAAGTATTTACCCTATAAACAACACAAATAATGACATCGTGTGCATGTAAAACAGTGAGTAGAGTCCAGGTAAAGACTACTGACTGAGGGTGTCAGAGTCTCTGAGGGAGGAGTTAAAAAGTCTGATGACCACTGGCAGGAAAGATTTCCTGTGGTGCATCGTGGAGTGAAGAGCCTTCTGCTGAAGGTGCTCCTCTGCAGGACCAGTTCACTTTGGAGAGGGTGAGAGACATTGTCCAGTATGGAGTGGAGCTTGGACAGCATCCTCCTCTCTGACACGGCCAGCAGGGAGTCCAGCTCCACCCCCACAACATCACCGGCCTTTTTGATCAGTTTATTAAGTCTGTTGGAGTCAGCAACCGTCAGCCCGCTTCCCCAGCATGCAACAGTGAAGAAGATTGCACTGGCCACAACAGACTCATAAAAAATCCTCAGCATCATCCTGCAGATGTTGAAGGACCTCAGCCTCCTCAGGAAAAAGAGACGGCTTTGACCCTTCCTGTAGATGGCCTCAGTGTTCTTGGTCCAGTCCAGTTTATTGTTTAAGTATACCCCTTGGTACTTGTACTCCTCCACAGTGTCAACTGGGGCCCCCTGGATGAAAACAGGGATCACAGGTGTTTTGTTCCTCCTCAGATCCACAATCAGCTCCTTAGTTTTTGCCACATTGAGCTACAAATGGTTCAGTTCACACCAAGTAACAAAGTTGTCTACCACAGTCCTGTACTCACTATCTGCACCCTTGCTGATGCATCCAACTATTCCAGAGTCATCATAAAAAACTTCTGAAGGTGGCAGGACTCTGTGCAATAGTTAAAGTCTGTGGTGTAGAGGGTGAAGAGGAAAGGAGAAAGGACAGTTCCTTGTAGGGCTTCAATGCTGCTGACCACTACGTCAGACACACAGTGTGGCAAGCGCACATACTGTGGTCTACCAGTCAGGTAGTCAACAATCTAGGACACAAGGGGGGGATCCACCTGCATCGCTGCTATCTTCTCACCCAGTAGAGCTGGACATATGTGTTGAAAGCACTGTAGAAGTAAAAAAACATGACTCAAGTACTTGACGGCTTGTCCAGGTGTGAGTAGAACCAGTTCAGCAGGTAGATGATGCTGGCCTAAACTCCCAGGCAGGGCTAGTAGGCGAACTGCAGTGGATCAATAAAGGGCCAGACCATAGGCCTGAGTTGCTCCAGGACCAGTCTCTCCAGGGTCTTCATGGTGTGAGACGTCAGAGCCACTAGTATGTAGTCCTGGGAGCCGCTGGGATGTGTCAGTTTTGGCACAGGAACAAGGTAGGACGTCTTCCACAGCACAGGGACCTTCTGGAGGTGCATGCTAAGGCTTAAGATCTGGTGAAGAACTCCACACAACTAAGGGGCACAGGCTTTGAGCACCCCAGGTAACACACCATCAGGGTCAGGGTAGAGTCTCTTCAGCAGTCTTCTCACTTGGTCAGGTGTGAAGGACACGGTAGGGGTGACAGGCGGGGGAGGGGGGAGGTCTTCAGGTGGGGAAGGACAGGATGTAGAGTTCAGGGGAGGGTAGGTGGATTGTGGAGGTGAGAAGTGAACAGGAGATCTGTGAGGAGGTGGGGGAGGGGGAGGCAGAGTGGCAGCGCTTGGAGAACTTAGAGGTAGGCAGATAGCAGCTGAGTCAAACCTGTTGAAAAACAGCTTCAGTTCATTGGCCTAGTGCACACAGCCCTCTAACCCTCTGCTACCAGTCTTTTTAAAACCAGTGATGGCTCTCATGCCAATCCACACTTCCCTCATATGGTTTTGCTGGAGTTTTATCTCCAGCTTCCTCCTGTAGTTATTCTTTGCCTCCTTAATTTCCAGTTTGAGGACCCCCTGTATTCTCCTCATCTCCTCCTGGTTGCCATTTCTGAACGTCCTCTTCTTATCGTTCAGAGTGGCCTTAACGTCTTTGGTGATCCATGGTTTATTGTTCGAGTAGCAGGTGACAGTCCGAGCTGGAACATAACAGTCCACACAGAAATTTATGTAGTCAGTTATGCACTCTGTGAGCCCATCAATGTCCTCTCCGTGTGGCTCACAGAATGCAGGCCATTCAGTGACCTCAGAGCAGCCCTGCAGTGCATCAAAGGCCTCCTCCAACCACCTCCTCATAGTCACAGGGGAGAAGAGGAGATGCATGCATCCTTAATGTAAGCATACATCAGGTCCAGGGTCCCCTTCTCTCTGGTAGTACAGCTCACGTATCGACTGAATGTTGGCAGAACTTTATCTATAGTGATGTGAGTAAAGTCTCCCTACATGATGATGAGGGCACTGGGATGAAGAGTCTGTAGTTTAGAGATGGAGGAGTGGATGACACTGCATGCAGACGTCGGGTTAGCAGAGGAGGGGATGTAAACAGCGACGATGATCACATGTGGGATCTCTCTGGGCAGATAATATGCACGGAGTCCAACGGCCAGTAGTTCTGCTTCCGAGCCACAGAGCTGTTCTTTAACAGTAATGTGTCTGGGATTACACCATCTGTTATTAACCGGAAAACCTGAAAACTCTCTCCACCAACATCTTTAGGGAGGGCGGGGCTTCAAAAGCTACAAGGAAAATGAACAGAAGTAGAAAGAAAGGATAAAAGCCTAAAAAAAAAGCTTAAAAGTGGACTAAAAGACTGGAGTAACCGCAACAGGCTGCATGTGCGTTCGTGTTTGCGCACAAAAGAAAATAAGCTAACTCAACAATATTATAACAACAATACTACACAAGCCGAACAAAATATTTTTATATAGTCTACAGGGTCTAGAGGGCAGCCCAGGACAGAGCTAGCCTTCCTCACCAGTTTGTTTAGTCTGTTCCTGTTTGCAGCCATGATGCTGCTGTTCCAGCAGACCACTCCACAGAAGATGACCGAGGCCACCACAGAGTCATAAAAGGACCACAGGAGTGCTCCCTGGACACCAAAGGACCTCAGTTTCCTCAGGAGGTGGATTTTACTTTGGCCTTTCCTGTAAAGTAAGTTAGTGTTGTCAGTCCAGTCCAGTTTATTGTTTAGGCGAACACCTGAAGAGTTTACAATCTCCATGTCCTTTCATTGAACGTTGATCTGGAGGAAGTTCTGCTGACACCAGTCCACAAAGTTCTGGTTCAGTTCTCTGTACTCCCTCTTGTCATTATTGGCAATGAGGCCAAAAATGGCTGAGTCATCTGAGATTTTCAGAAGGCAGTGGAGAAATCATACAACATTCCTCACAGTGCCCCCAGTCCTCTCCAGGGGCCTCATTTATCAACCGTGCATATGCACAGATGTGTACGTAGTGAGTGCCTACGAACATTCCCATGCAAAGTATGGGATTTATCAACCTGTACTTGTGCTTAGGAACGTGCGTACATTGAAGCACAACTCTGACCAGGCGTACACACAAAATCTAGCGGTAGAACAGTGAAACTACAAATAGAACCAAATAAAGGAGTCTCAGTGTTCAGCAATCTCAAACTTCACACATGTTCCCCATTGCCTCTGTATAAAATTCAACTGATTAGTTATTTAGCACACATTTTGAATGACTGATGTTTGATAAATACAGATTTTTTTGTTCTTACGCACATTCTAAATTTCATTCCCACACCAGAATTTAGAACTTTTTCTACGCACATTTGATAAATAAGGCCCCAGGTGAGAGAGATCTTTGCAGGAGGTAGATGACAGCATCATCCATCCTAAAGCCTGGCTGATAGGTGAACTGCAGTGGGTCCAGTGATAAACTCACCAGGGGGCGCAGATGACACAAGACCAACCCCTCCAGGGTCTTCATCAGTTGCATAGCCACCAGACTGTAGTGGAAATTCTTGTGGGGGGAAATCTTTGGCACCAGTACCATGTAGTCTTACACAGCTGTGCTGATGGGTGGCTAAATTCCTCTCAGGAGGGGGAGCAGAGGATGGGCAAGGGGGTTGTGAGGGTACAACAGGGAGAGTCATTAGAGCAGGGGTCATGCAGTCAGCAGGAGGTGTGAATGACAATAGTTACAGCAGGAAAGGTTGTGCAGAGGGAGGGTGGATGGCTGGTTAAACCTGTTGAAGAAGATGCTCAGGTTGTCCATCTACTCCTGGTCCTTTATCGGCTCAGTTGTTGAGGCCTTGTGACCAGAGATGGTTTTCAGGCCCCTCCAAACCGCACTGACGTTCCTCTGCTGCAGCTCATCCTCCACCTTTCTCCTGTAAGAGTTCTTCCTCCTCGATTCCCTCTGCACAGCCTTCTCTTTATTTCCTGACAGAAAAGCTCCCTTTTCTCCTTAAAGAGAGTTTTTATGTCAGAAGTGATCCATTGCTTTTGTTGGCAAAACACTGTATGGTTTTGGTAGATACAGTGTTGTCAAAACAAGAATTGATATAGTCCATGATGCAGTGTGTGTTGCTGGTCCATTTTATTGGGGATAGAGCTCATGTTACCGGTGATTACTGATGGGAGGACAGGTTTGTAGCATCTCCTCTTGTTACCCTTCTTTACCCCCATATGGTGTTCCCTTCTCCTCTTCTTCAGCTTGCGGGGAACATTGCGTCTTTCACCAGTTAGGTTCAGTGTGCCACAGAGGGCTAACAGCTAGTCACAAGTGTAAACAATGGGAACACTGCTGTGAGTATGGTCCGCGATAACACGTGTGGAGTAGAGTGAAAAATCACAGAAAAACCAAAACAAACTTAACCAAGTTCCTATCCATCTTGTAGCAGATATGTTCAAAATTGTCCAGTATATTTGATAAGGAATAGAAATGGGAAAAGTCATAAAAGGGAAAAGAACCCTGAACAAGTGAGAGCTGCTGTAACGCTGGCGCTAAAAGTGAAGTTCCTTGCGATACAAGCTATTTGTTACGTAATTAGGCCTTCCCCATTGTTTGGAAAATATACCATTTTCATTGTTATACTGTGGGCTAGCACTATGATGTTCCTTGTGAAGTAGTACAGCACTCCCAGTTAAATAAACCAGGGAGAAAGCTCAACCTGAGACAAAAAGGAACATCCAGCATACATGCAGACCACCCTGCAGTGAAGCTATGTCAGCAGGCAGAGATGCCAAAAATGTCTGACATAGACCATAAACTCACAGTAACAGGTTCTCAAATCATGCAGTCAGTGTAATTGAACAAAGGATGAACAAAAAGTGTAAGAAGTCTATTAGTTTTATGCTTTGAAATGACAAAAACACACTTCTTTTTTTATTTTTAAGGGATTTTTGACCAAAAATTGTAAATTTTGATGAAAATAAACTAAAAAAAAAAAAAGTTAGAATAAAATGTTTTTATCTATGAAATCTGGAGCCTGCACTTCGCTTTGAAGTTCACAAAATTTTGTCAAAATGCTGGTTCTGCCTAGAAACATTTCCAGGGAAAGTGTAAAAGCTCCTGTGAGGAGTTTATTTGTAGTTCTGAAACAGAACAAAATTGTTGCTGATGCTTCCATATGACCTACTCTGGCCAGTTAGACAGTCAGCAAGACCAGACCAGCAGAATCTCCCCATGACAAGAAAAGACCCTGTCATAATTCTAGTTTGCATAACCATAAGCTGACTGTGGCCACATTACCTAGCTTATCACACAGCTACCAACTACTATACAAAAAAGTGGACACCTAATTTAGTTATGCACTTCCTGTCAAAGTTCCTGTCTGTTAAGTTATCCTCTCTTATCCTCATCTTTTATCTCTTGTGTTTCCTGTTTATTTTGAATCACTAACTGCTATCTCTGTTTCAGTTATATCCTGCTCTGCTCCTTGTCTCACCTGATGTTCATTCCTGTCAGCCCCACCTGTTCTCCATCACTCCCCATGACCTTGTGTATTTAACCTCATTCCCTTCACTCTCTTGTTTCCAGTTTGTTCTTCTTGCACGTTCCAGCACTCATGTCCAAAGCTCTCGTTTTGACTCTCTAGTTTGTGACCCTGCTTTGCCTCGTCTCCACCTTTTGCCTTGTGTTTTTTGGATATGTTTGCCTGTGAGTTTTGACCATACATGTCCCAAACTCCTGCCTGGAACAAACTCTGATTTTGCAAACTGTGAATGGTGTCTTCACTGTAATCCTAGATTAGTTTCTGTGCAAATAGTTTAAGTATACATCAGTTGAAAAAGAGTTTTCTTGCATTACTTAAATAGTGTTGGTATGTTGTACTGGCATTATTTGATTAATATGTGCACAAGCCGAATTAAGTTGATTCAACTCAAAAAAATGTATAATAATTTAGATGCACTTGTAGTTCTGAGTTCAACAAACTTCAAAAATTAACTTCTAGCCTGCATTTTAATCTGATTGGCTAATTGTGTCCAGACTTGTCTAAGCTTGCTGGAAGGAGGACAGTTGGTCTCTCTTCATAGAGAGCAGAATAAATCAACTGCAGTAGATGAGTTCTGTTTTGACCCTCATGGAGCTTTTTACGTTCCTCAACTCGGTGAGTCATCTTCCATATTCATTTGGTTTGACAGACATTATTTCATGATCCCTGAAGCTTAAAAAATTGTATTGTGTTAAAATTTTGGTGTGCAAACAACATCTGAGAATAGTTATGAGCGTAGTCCATGTACTTAGCTTATCCTCTCAACTGTTGCTGTTTCACATTGCCATTTGGCAGAGGTAGCTAACATAAGTTGATACAAATGACTTCATTTCACTTTTTTTTGCAAAAGAGCAACAGCATTTTCTGAAAGAAACTCAGTGACCTACTTTAAAACGCTAACTAAAACATTTGACTGTAAATATATATTTAAAACATTTTTTTAACCATACATGAAGACATGCTTTGGAAATGCAAGTAGTGTTGAAGTTACTCCAAACTTCCCCGAGTCCGTTGATGGAGACTGGAACAGAGGATTCAATGAGGCAAAAAGGTGTCTTCAACAAACCTTTTATTTCGGCACAGCAAATAACACAAGATATCTTGGAGAGCACAACATCAACCCAATGGTATCTCTGAGGTGGTCTGATTACTATTTTTCAGTAGTTAATAGTTATACACTTGAGGCGTCTCATCATCTTTATGGGCGGAGAGTTTACATAACCAGCAGTCCCCAGTGTTTCTCTATGGACAAACAAGCACGTATTGTTCTATTGTTTTTACCTGACCGAAACCGTGGTTTCAGGGAAGTTGACCTTGGATGCATCCAGTGCTTGTCTCCTTTTTATCATATTTGCGTCATGTATTCCCACTGGGCAGACTGCTGGGCATGCAAACCCTCCCTTTACACCTCCACATCTTCTCAGGACAGAGTGATCTTCCTCCCTCGTCCTGTTGTTCACATCTCTGACTAGCACCTGCACATCTGTTATGAAAGGCACATCATTATCTAAGGCATATGTCATGGTCATAGAGCACTTTTATAAGGAACACTTTTAATAAATGACTGTTATGATTATAATACACACTTAAAATAAATGACTGTTAAGGCAGAACAGTTTAAAACCATACTTACCAACCCTTGGCACTTCTAGGCATAAGCTAAAATCCTTCTATAGTGAAAGTCTCTGTTCTATACATTGTGACACAGTGATCAGTTGCCCCCGTGTTAGCATTAAACCTTCTTATCTGACTCATCAGTACATGTCTGCAATGAGCACACAAAATAATGTAAACACAATAAGAAAACAATTAATTACCTGAAACAATGATTAAATGATTGTCATCAATGATTAAATGATTAGCATGAACATGTGAGTTCCCACAGTAGTATCCTGTTAACTATGAAAAAAGAGCAAAGCTTCTCAAACACTGCAGACTTAAACATGGAAGTTATGCCAGGACTGAATCCATTCCTTGCTTACATCAAGATTGCCCATGTACAAGACCCTGGGAAGCAGCAGTGAGAAGCTCCAGTACTGTCAGATCTTCATACAGGACAAATATTACACACAAAGTCTAATTGTTGTGAAAATCTCATTTTATTTTCTTGTTACTCATAAGATCTTCATGATGCAGACTCCTTGGACATTCCAGTGAGCATCCTCTGCTTTGAAAAAAGTGGGACCCAAAATCATGTAATCTTAAAATGGTTTAATGTTAGGTTATTTCTATTTTATGTTTATTGTGGCTGTTGTTACGTCCTGTTTTTTGGCAAATGTCAATAAAATTTAATGCCAGCTTTTGGTGTAATATATTTTTTGAGTTGGTATAACTTAACATTTTGCGTTTAATGAAAGCTAAATACAGCTGAATGCATGTGAGAAAATTAGTTATTGTCACTTCAAATAGTGAATTAAATAGGTATGAATTTAATAAAGATTATGAGTACTAATAACGTTTCTTTCAGTGTATTCAACTCAAATAATCTGTTCCATTCCCTTTGATATTTGCGTTGATTTTACTTAATTACTTAATTGATGCACTCATTACTTAAATCATTTAAGTGCAATCACTTGCCTCAAAAAAATTTAAGTATTATCAACTTATCCGGGTTTACAGTGTTGGTGCTCTGCATCTGGGTCTTGTGTACCTATGCCTGTTAATGACACCTCTGTGACAATAGTGTTCTTATCAGCAAACAAATGGGTTAAATTAAATAAATTTAAGTTGCTGCCTGTCTGTTTTCATTAAAAATTGAACAAATGTGTGTTTGAGAGTTTGTAAATCTGCCTCCTTCATCACTGAAGGTTGACCTATTGTTCTCAAACTCAACTACATGACAGCATAGGACAAAATGTGTGCATGAATTAAGTGGATGACAGCTGCAAAGTTGTGACACTGAAATGACAGCTGACAGCAGAGGAGGATGAGAGTGACAGGGACAAGTTTGACAGCAACGAGATGACTGGCTCAGAGGTCACTGGAGAGTCTAATTGGCTCACTGAAACACTGACTGAACTCAGATACATGCAAAACACAATTAATGGAGAGTTTGTAGAGAAAAAAAAAGGATTATTTTTATTTGTTACAGCAATCACGTTGCAATATTGCAACTAGATTTTGTATATTGAAAGTATAGCTGCATGAACATGTAT